AGGGAGCAGCAGGCAGCAGCAGCAGTCTGGGGCACCCCTCCTGAGCTGCTGCCCTGTGTGCCCTGTCCCACTGCGGAGGAACACAGCACCTCATTCATGCCCAGGCTCTCGGAGCCACTGCGGGGGCTGAAAAATGCAGGCTGACGTCAGGGCTCTGGTCTGGGACAGCGGGAAGGTGCAGCCTTTGTGCTCCCAGCTTCTGTCTCCAGCACCCAGCCCCTTCTGCTGCCTCTGCTGACCTTGCGGCACCTCCTTGCCTGGTCCTTGGGGCCAGTAAGGCATGGCCGGTGCTCATCTGGGATGCTGGCTAGGACCAGAGGGGTAGATGCGTGCTCCAGGATCAGCACTGCCCCAGGCTCAGATTAAGGCTGCTCGCTCGTGGGCTGTGGAGATGCAGCCCCTTCCCCTACCCATCCTCAGGCAGCTCCCCATCTCAGTGGTGGGGGGGAATTGGAGGCTCTGAGGTCCTGTTGCCCATTTCAGCAAGGCTGGGATGCCGCCAGGAGGGCAGGTCTGGCTGGGACTGCAACAGCAGTGAGGTGGGTGGGTGGTTGGCTCTGGGTGTCCTGGGGAGACTGGTGGTGCGAGCATGGAGTGCTTTGTCCCCTCTCTGGGGACAGGGCTGGTGGCCTGATCCCGTGGGCTCTTTGTGGATGCAGAAAGCAGCGTGGCGGTAGGAGCGGGGCCCTGCTCCTGGCTGGCACTCCCGCTGGGCTGGGACATGGTGCCTGGGGGGTGCCAACACAGGACATGGCTCTGCCCTATGCCCTTCAGGGGATGGAGACGGGGACAGGATGGGCTCGGCTCCCTTGCTGGCCCAGACACTGGGGCTTCCCCGTGCTTTCCACCCCTGACTGGCTCTGTCCCACAGCTGCAGCCAGCAAGCTGGAGGTCTCCATGCCGGCGGTAGTTGAAGTGGAGAGTGGGGGCACAGCCAGGATCGAGTGCAACTTCTACATCCCTGGAAACGGTTCCTACACCTACATCAACTGGTCCTATGTGAGTGGTGGCCTGGAAGAGGAGCAGTGGGTGGTGGGCTGGGGTGGCAGCTAGCCTGGGGCTTTCTTCTGGGCTCCCTGTCAGCCTGGCATTGGTCCCTCACCTTGCAGATGGACCGCAGCAACCGGGTGAGCCTGTGCAGCATCACGGGCGGCAAGATCCTGGAGGAGAACACGGACTACAAGGGGCGGCTATCGGTGGGGGAGGACAAGGCCCTCTCCATCAGCAGGGTGACGGTGCAGGATGCCAGGACCTTCATATGCCAGGTCGAGGCAGGCAGCCACGGCATGGGCGAGAACCGCACTGAGCTCCACGTCTACAGTGAGTGATGGGGCAGGAGGGCAGCACGGCCATGCATCTGTTCAGTGGGGCTGGTGGGGAACCCCATCCCGTCCCTCCTAATACACTTGGGGTGACTTCTCTTTCCAGAGGTCCCCGAGGCCCCTGAGATCGTGGCCAACCCAGGAGGCATCTCTGTGCACAGCAGTGACATCCCGCAGGTGAGGAGAGGGAGGAGGCCTGCCAGCCATGCCAGGCTCCCCACTCCCCATGGGGGTGCCCCGTGCTCAAGACTCTCTTTGCTGCTGCAGATTGCCCGCTGTGTGAGCAGGAACAGCTTCCCACCCCCCAACATCACCTGGCACAAGAATGGGGAGCAGCTGCAGCCGGAGGAGAACAGTGAGTTTGGGGATGGGGAACTGCACCTGCCTGCTCAGGAGAGGGGCTGGGGCACTTGTGCTGTGTCCAGGGCCTCATCGGCTGGGGACTGGCAGCCTGTGGCCACCCGAAGGAGCCCTGTGCTCCCAGGGGAGCCCTCCGCTCTCCGGTGGCCTCCCCACAGGCTGGAACAGCAGCTGTGTCCCCTGTAGTGGTGAAGATCTCAGCCACGCTGACCCGTGAGTCGAGCGGGCTGTACACGGTGAGCAGCACCCTCTTCGCCCACGTCACCCGGGAGGACCGCAACTCCCTCTTCCACTGCACCGTGCACT